CCACGCTGACACGTGACTGAGAAACCCGACCAAGTGATTCTGGAGCAGAACGTGCGTCACGCTTTTATTCGGCACGCACTCATCAATAAATCGGGACTTCGTGGCAGCAAACGTGGACGTTGTGTCGCCACATTGATTCCGGCTGCACGTTGTTCCGCTTGTCTAGATGCTGCCTGAGGTCTGGATGTGACCCGCAGAGGGAGTTCGGCCTACCGAGCAGCCGCTGGGCAGCATCTCCCCGGCCGCTGCACGCGGGCTGCCCCCCCCGACCCCCCGCCGGGCGGAGGGAACGCGGGTGTGAGCGCGCATGAAAAGCCCCCCGCCGCGGCTCTTACCGTCTGCAGCCGGTGGCGCGGGTCGCCCCTCTTCTGCGGCCGCCCGTCGGCTTTGCGGAGCCCCCCCGCCCGGTCCTCCTCTCGCTTCTCCCGGCTCCTGGCGCCTCCGTCCCCGCCGGCGGAGTCCAGGCTGCTGAAGTTCCACACGATGAGGGTCTGCACCAGCAGGACGGCCAGGGCGGCGATCAGCAGCGCGGACCTGGAGCGCCGGGCCGGCCTGCGGGCGCACGGGTTACCGGTCATCTTTCCTCCTCCTCCTCTTCCTCCTCCTCCTCCTCCTCCTCCTCCTCCGGCGGCTCAAGCCGAGAGCCCCATCCGCTAAACGCCGACAGCGGGGTGTGAGTGCTCCCCGACGCGGCCTGAGAGGCGCTACTGGCGGGCGCACGGGGGAGGGAGGAGGGAGGAGGGAGGAGGGAGGAAGGGAGGAGGGAGGAGGGAGGAGGGGACTTGGCAAAGGCTTGGAATGAGGAGAGAGGTTCGGAGGTTCGGAGAGAGGAACCGGAGGCCCTCATGCGGCCGATCATCATCTCAACAGCTCACACAACAATAATCATATGAATGAGAAGGACACGAGGAAACAATCCTTCCAATTATTATAAATATAATGACAAAATAATCTTCATAGTAATGATAATTAGTAATTGTTCATTACATTTAGCCGACTTACAATAAGTGCATCTCAACGATCAGGATACACGATAATAATGATAAAAATATAATAATCATGTTTTAAATCAGAATGGCTCTAATAATACAAATGATACAAACTATAATAATAATACTATACTATAATAATAAAAAACAATGATACAAAATGATGAAATTCATCATAATAATAATAATATATAAATGATAAGCATTAATTGATTAAAATACAAATTATAGAACTATTCACATACACTTTATTAATACTGATAAAAATGTTATACAATTAATATACAATTAATTTACGCCCACTCAGCGTGTCCTTGTGACTCCAGGAGGGCCCCTTAGGGCCTTATAGGCGGACGGGTTCTAGTGGACGTGCAGAAGCACCGTGTTGTGTTTATGTGGGCTGGACTACTTCTTACACTGCAACATGTTGAACTTTCCTCTGAGGGACTCTGAAAGGAGTCTTTGAACGCAGCAGCTGTGACGCTGCTTGTTGGTCATCTCACTTCTCCTTCAACAAAACATCAGCAACTCAGACTCAACAACAACCGTTTATTTTTCAGGTTTCAATGACATTTACTTTTTCTCCAAATATATAAAAATACATCTGAACAAATAAATGGTTGACATGTCGTAGAGCTCACATGTAGCCCCGCCCACCAGCGGCTGGCACTGGTTTTGGGGCGATGGTTTTAAGGATCTGGATTCGATTGGGATCCCAGACACAATCCTCCTCCAAACCGCTCTTCACCATTCCACAGTTGGGGGGCACCCAGGCCGTGTCAAACACCTCTCCGAACCGCGAGTCGTGCCAGTTCTTCTGACGGGGGTGGCGTTGGTGGTTGATGGCGATCACTTTCCCCACGTTTACACTAACCCTGATGACGACCTTGTCACCCTCTAGGTGATCAATGGGGTAGCGGCTGGCTTTGTCCAGGTCTCTGCTGAGGTAGACGCCGGGGCCGAGCATGAGGTTGTCCCCCAGGGACTGACGGAAACCGTGTTTCAGGATGGATTGAGCCGCTGCCCTGGTGGTGCCGTGGTACATGATGTAGCTCCTGTGATCACCTGGAGCATCGTGGCCCAGTGGAATTACCCCCTGGGGCAGATCAAAGTCATCTTCAGCCCACTGGTAAAACATGTCGGTGTCCGGGTGTCTGAGGGGGAAGAGCAGAAAAAACATCAGCAACACAGCAATGGACCCAGAGAGCTGAGGGGTTAGTGGTTAGCCTAGCTTAGCACAAACACAAACATGCCTAAAGGGTCCACATACCTCTGTCTCTCTCTGCGTCCCTCCAGGAGTGAAGGCTGGAGAACCTCCGCTTTATTTAAGCACCTGGGGAGGAAACCGTGGTTCTTCTTTCACTTTTGTTTCCCTTGTGCGGCGTGTTATAACTTTCGTTTACGGCGTGTACTCGCGTGGGCGTGGCCACCACGGCGGGTTCTGTCCCGCCAACCAGCAGCTCCGGGTTCAGGCCTTCAGGGCCTTCGTTTCCTGCAGGTGTCAGATTGTGGGAGTGTTCTTGTTGTGGATCACCGCTCCCCTTTTCATCGTTCTCCTGCAGTTTCGTTTCCTCGGCGTGGAAACAGAAACAGAAGAGCTCGGCCCGCCGAGTCGCAAGTCGGGTCGTTTCCCGTAAACGAGGCGTCTGTGAGCGAGCCGCACCTTTCATACGGGAAGTCAAATGTTTACACGTAGACTTTAAGGATTAAAAGATCTTCAGTTACTTATTGAAGACGATTACTTAAAGTCTGGAAAAAACACTCAAATCTGCGAGTAACATTTTAGAAAAAGCCTCCCGATCACACGCAACACGTCACCATGTGTCGCGGCAAAGCGCCATCGCTCATTTGTGTTTCTTCAGTACTTGAAGCCCTCACGGTCCACAAGGGTTCTGGGTTTGAGGCCCTGGGGTGAGAGGGGGGGTTTAAAGTTACATTTACTACAGAGCTTAAACTCGCCATCTTATGACGTCCACTGAAACGGCGAGTAAAACGGCATCAACCTTCACAGCACGTTCACCCAAGTGGGTGGAACCGGCATCAGAGGCCGGTGAGTCGGGGGGGTCGGGGGGTCGGGGGGGCGTCCCTGCTCTTGTGACTCATTCAGCAGTCCAGCTGGTTGTGAGATGCATTATTAAATCACTTATTTGTGCGATGATGTGAATCCTAGCTGTTCCTCGGCGGTGACTCAGCACTTCTCCTCCGCTCACTTTGCTTCTTCAGCTTGAGTTGTCCATTAAACTGAACAATGAAAGAAAAGGGAATTCAGCCTCAACGCAGCAGCTGACGGAACAGGTTCTGTCATTTTAGAATCTGCGTCATCATCAGCCTGATCAGGTGACTTCACGTGAGGAGGTTAGAGGGCGTCCACAAACACACGGCGCCCTAAAAACAACGGTATCACCGTTCATGCCGTTGATTTGAACCCAAACAGAGATCTTTTCTTTAACCTCTCCGGGGGATTTTGTTGCTTAAACACTTGTTTATGGACATCTGTAGGAAAATGACAGATATAATAATATATTCAGTGTAATTGCTGTTCATTTGAGAGCTCCAGGCTGAATCCTGCTGCGTTTTATGGCTCGATTGGATCGATATCCATGTAGACAAGAGCTTACTGAGAGCTAGATAACACACACACACACACACACACACACACACACACACACACACACACAGTGGGAACGTTAATATAAAAACACAACAGTTGATCAGTTTTCCTTCTGCTGCATCAGCTGATTAATAAACGTCTCAGTAAACAGGTCACATGTGACGCGTGATGAGTCATCAGTGATGAGGTTTCTCCTTCGAGTGACAACAACACCTTCATTATTAGTGTATTTCCTCCTCATCTCAGAGACACCAGACAACCACAGACCCACAAACTGCCTCTTGTTTTTTGTCTCCTTTTCTTTCTTTCATGGTTGATTTGTGTCCATTTTATGTCTCTATGTAAGTACTTTGTTACTCTTTGTAGTTTTGTGTGGTTATAATGCTTAATGTGTCTTTGTGATTGTTTGGTCCTTGTCATGGTCCTTGTGAGTCTCTTAGCAGCTGTTTTGGGTCTCTGTGTAGTTGTTTTGTGTCTTTTAATTAATTTTAAGCAAACCCTCCTCCTTCACTAGTAGACATCGTGACGCTGGTAACGGCCTTGATTCAAAGTCTGATAACTCAGAAACCATGAAGAACCTGCAGTAACAAAGTGAACAGAAGCTGACGTCGATACGTTAAACTTTACTTCATTTAGAAATTAGGTAAAAAAATATTTTCATTCAGAAGTCCAAAAATGGTGGCTGAAAAATAATTGGAGAAAAAGGTCAAAATATCACGTTGAAAAATATGAAAGAAATCTGAAAATTCGTTCAACTTCAAGGGAAAAAAAGTAAAGTGAAAAAAGGCAAAACAATATATCAAAAAATGTTTTCAAAAAGTCAAAACATGTAAACATTGAAAAGAATTCGAAAAAAGAACAAATATGTAAAAAGGTAAAATGTCGGAAAATAATAAATGTTTGAGAAAAAGATGTCTAAAGATGTCATGGAAAAAAAGTAAAAACATGTTTTAAAATACCAATATGTCCATAAATATCTTGGGTTGAAAAATATTTAGAAAAAAGGTAAAAAATGTATATCTTTATTTGAAAATGTGTTCACACAAGATGATGAAGATGAATAAACGAGTAAATAGTACATGTGGACATTTTTCAATCGTTGACGGTGTGGTCCTCACTTACACCGCGGGCCTGAACGACACGCGGTTCTAGAAGCCGGAACCGAACCTGCATTGTCTTCCGTCACATCTTTTGAAGAGAATTTCAGCGAAAAGATTTTTCTAAGCAAATTATATTTTGTGAGGTCAGATATGCATATCGTTCGCTTATTCTGATGTATTCGTACTTTTACAACGATGGGTTTTATCGTTTTGATGTTTAAATATTGATTTGTGGAGAAGATAAATATATGTCCCTATATTTGCCTCCAGTAGGAGGCAGCGTTCCCAAAAAGAAAACTCCTTAAAAAACCAAATCACTTCAACTGAACAGAAACAAAAAATCCACTGCGACAGCTTGACTTCAACATTCAATAGTTTTATTGTGAAAAAGGTCGAAACTCTTCAAATCCTTGAAACTGTACAATCAATAATTTAGAAAAAAGAAAAACGTTCAGGTTTGTGTTTGAAGTACACACACACACACACACACACACACACACGCACGCACACATGCAGACACACACACACGCACGCACACATGCAGACACACACACACACACACACACGCACGCACACATGCAGACACACACGCAGACACACACACACACGCACGCACGCACACATGCAGACACACACGCAGACACACACACACAGCAGCTTCAGCCGAAAACCAGAATAGTGTTTTACAAGTGTTGTTTTTTGTGCGAGTCGTGTCGTTATTGTCACAACAGTCTGCTTCTTTATACAAATACTTCCCCCTCAGAGCCCCCCCCCCCACCAAAAAGGCTGGATTCATGAGAAACAAGTCAACAAACACGGAGGAAGTCCTTAGAGAAGCAAAGAGGAGACGTGGAGGGAGAAGCTTATCAACAACAACAACAACAACAACAGCAGCAGGCGGGATCCTTGGCAACAAGTCAAACTCCTTCTTTGCAAAAACACTGGAATTCGTTGAGGAGATTTCATGTTGTGCTCCTTTGAGAAGCAGAGTGTGTTTCTACTCATCTAAAAGCGACGGTTGCTAACGGAGACGTTTGTGTCCGGTTACAGAGACACGGACGTAAAGAACTAATCGTTTGTGTGAAACGAGACACATCGAGTTAAAGGTCGGTGAGTTCTGCATCAGCGCGTTAAAGTGGGGGGGTAAATATTCCCTGATGTCACATCCTGTTACTATATAAAATATCAAGTTGTGAGTCTGATGAAAATCAAATAATCAGAAAAAAAAGTGCACACTTAAAATAATTGTCAATTAAAGATAGAAAGTATTATATTATAATACATTTTTATACCCTCAATGACTCGATCAGTGCACGTATGAGTCAAACGAAAACAACAACAACAAGCAGCTAATTGTTTGTGTGATAAAGAAAGTCAAGAGAAGCTGAGGAAGATGAGGAGACAAGCCACAGCGAGCGAGAGGAAGACCTCCAGAGATCTATTATTCAGCAGCTATGAATCATGGGACAGCATGCGGGGGCGGGCGTGCAGATCACAGGAGAAGAAGAGCTGCTTCCTGGAGACCGAACACATTTCAGCAAAAATGAGCTAAATTAACTTTCACAAGTCGTCCACTCGTAGCTGCCGTTCCCCGCGGGCCATGAATGCAGCACGTGGGAGAGATCTTATCACATCAACTTCATTATATCGATGACAAACAGCTGTGATTGATTTAAACATATTGGAGGCGTTTTCTATTTCCCTTATTGTCGAATCCCCAACAGACCGAAACGAGCACAATAATAAGAATAATGAATAATGAACTTTGTTTTCCGCTTTCCCTTCCAAAAACTACCCAGAAAAGAGTAAATCCGCCGCTGAAAATAGTCCCAAACTGCACCAGCTCCTCCTGTTGGCTCTGCATGAATGTTGAATGTTAGAGGGAAGTACTGTCACTATCGATTCATCTCCCGATGCCCGAAACCTCAAATACTCGACATCTCATAAGTAGAAAAACCAGAACGTTTCGTATTGTTGCTTCAGGATGAAATGAAAGTAAAACGCTTAAAGCGACTCACCGCTGACCTCCATCCAAACACCTCCACCTGATGTCTGAGCTGCTAAACAAACACCTGCTGCTCCCTGATGGCCAAACAAACTGATTCCATTAATACAACGAGAGGCCTTATCATCAAATCATCTGGAATCAGAAAAAAGTCTCCAAGTAAGAGTCTTCAATCAATAATCAAAACCGCCCAAATATTCTCCTCTTTAAATGATATGAATCAGCAAATAGTTTTGCATTTTGTCTTTAAAAAGGGGACGATTGAAAATACTTTCAACGGAACAAACTGAGCTGGAGCTTTAAAAATGAGTCAATTCGTCAGTGAAACCACGACTTAAAAGTTCTAAAGATGAAGCCAGATTTGAGTCTCTCGTGTGCGAGGTGATTGGTCTCCGGACTGCGACTCCCACAAACCCTCCCGATGGGGTTTGTTGACAAATACAGAAAGAAAATGTTTTTTTTTCAAGTGGCAACCAGTTAAAAATAAATGTCACACGAAGGCGGAGAAACCTCCAACAGGCTTTATAGCGCCGAGCCGTAACCATGGCAACATCTCTCTCTGGTTGCCTAGGCGATCTTGCAGTTGTTGCGGGTGCAGTTCTGCGGCGGGCTCTGCGGCGGGCGGATGGACTTGGAGCGCTTCAGGCTGTTCCCCTTGGAGCCGCCCTGCGGGTTGGCCAGCGAGTAGGAGCGTCCGTGCATCATGACGGCGTTCATGCCGTTGGCCATGGAGAAGGACTTGAGGTGCGACTTGATGGCGACGGGCAGCGGCAGCTTGTCGATGAGGTGCACCGGCGTGCACGACACGATGGCCCGGCAGCAGAGGTCCTGCAGGCTGAACACTGCAGGGAGGGGGCTCGGTTAGAAGCGTTGGGGACACATTTTACGTACGCGAGAGAGCGGCGAGCTACCGCGTCCTGGTTTAAGCACATGAAAGGCGACAGGAAGCGGGCATTGAGTGACGCCACTATGGGACAAGAGGACCCTACGCTCACCTCGGTTGGGCTTCCAGAACTTCTCCATGCCGTGCCTCATGAGGACGATGCGCGACAGCTCCGTGAAGGACTCGATGACGTTGAAGTTGCAGAGCGGGCTGACCTCGAAGAAGGTCATGCCGTTCTTCTCGGCGTAGGCCCTGGCCTGCTCCGTGGGAACCTGCCGCTTGAAGGCCAGGTGGAGGCGGTTCCCGACCAGGATACGAGGCACGCCAGGAGCATGCTGGGAAATAAAAAGGAAGGAAAGCAGGAGGACGGAGTTAGCGTCTTTCTCACAGCGCTCATCCTCTCTGCTCCAATCAGCACGCAGAACACCAGCTGATCTGAGCTGGAGGTCAAAAGTCTATCTGACCCTCAAACGAAAAAGTAGTGAACATGAGTGGATCCCAATGACCCCCCCTGGTCTCCTGGTCCCACCTCATCGATCTCTCTGATCCACCGGTCGATTCCATCGAACGACCACCGGTTGGTGATGTCATACACCAGCAGGATTCCCTAAAGAAACACCACAACAACAACAACATCATCATCATCATCATGCGTGTGATCCAGACGCCCACGACGTGGACCTTCAGCTCCGTGAGGTCACGCAGGTTCAATCTACCAGATGGTTTCGTTTCTCACCTGAGCGCCGCGGGAATACGAGCGGAAGATGGTGCAGAACCTTCCCTGACCCGACGTGTCCCTGGAGAGACACAAAGACACGTTAGAGACAGCAGACGTCCAAAACGTCAAGTAAACCTACACAATAAATATAGGAAACGTTCAAAAAGGATTTCAGAAGAAAGACGGTCGTGTTCTGCTGCTCGTGGCCGAAACATTCAGATTTAATATTTCTAAAATCCCTGAGGGGTCGATTCATTTATTTAATCGGACATCGATCACAATTAATCACTTGATAAATGGCTCAATAAAAGGTTTGATCTTAATACAATAGATGAAAGGTGAATGGAAATGTGATTTAAACCAAAGCTCAGACACATGTTGGTGTGTGTGTGTGTGTGTGTGTGTGTGTGTGTTTACCAGAGCTCCAGCTTCACTCTCCTCCCATCCAGAAGGATGGTGGTGGTTTTGTAGTCGATACCTGTACAGAGGGGGGGGGGGCATTATATTTAATAATAAAAATTAGCTATTTTTATGAATTAAAATAAAATGAGCTCAACACAACAATGAGCCTGTGGTGCTTTGAGCTAAATGCTACCATGACAACGCTGATGATCAGCAGGTGTTTACGTGCACATTTTGTTAAGCAGTCGCACACAGCTGGGGCTCATGGGAAGGTCTGTCTCCACGTGACCATGTGAGCCAAAGTAATCACGGTTCATCCTGGGGGAGCATGAACGCCTGCACCACCCTTCATCTCAACCCATCTGACAGTTAGTTCACTGACAACCACAAATGAACAAGTGAGATCCTCATGGTGGTGCTGCTTCACCTGCTACGACGGCGTAAACGTTTCTGGTAGAGACCTATCAATCATTATGTAGCCCCGCCCTAAAGCATCCCCTGCTTTATGGTCTGTTTGACTCTAAATGGACCATAATTTACTTGCAAGTAGAGTTTGAGACATAAACTCATGTTTACAGATTTCAGAGGGAATAAATACAGAGAGTAGAGTCATTTCCTCATAGACGTCTATGGGAGCAGAGGAGTCGCCCCCTACTGGTCACTACAGAGAAGTAGAGTCATTTCCTCATAGACGTCTATGGGAGCGGAGGAGTCGCCCCCTGCTGGTCACTACAGAGAAGTAGAGTCATTTCCTCATAGACGTCTATGGGAGCAGAGGAGTCGCCCCCTGCTGGTCACTACAGAGAAGTAGAGTCATTTTCTCATAGACGTCTATGGGAGCAGAGGAGTCGCCCCCTGCTGGTCACTACAGAGAAGTAGAGTCATTTCCTCATAGACGTCTATGGGAGCAGAGGAGTCGCCCCCTGCTGGTCACTACAGAGAAGTAGAGTCATTTCCTCATAGACGTCTATGGGAGCAGAGGAGTCGCCCCCTGCTGGTCACCACAGAGAAGTAGAGTCATTTCCTCATAGACGTCTATGGGAGCAGAGGAGTCGCCCCCTGCTGGTCACTACAGAGAAGTAGAGTCATTTCCTCATAGACGTCTATGGGAGCAGAGGAGTCGCCCCCTGCTGGTCACTACAGAGAAGTAGAGTCATTTCCTCATAGACGTCTATGGGAGCAGAGGAGTCGCCCCCTGCTGGTCACCACAGAGAAGTAGAGTCATTTCCTCATAGACGTCTATGGGAGCAGAGGAGTCGCCCCCTGCTGGTCACCACACAGAATGCAGCTTTGACACAGGAAGCTTTAGCTTGACTCGCCGTCTGATTGTACTTTGTATACGATATATCAATTTGTTTCATAATTGACCACGTACAAAACTAAAAGGAGGCTTTTAGCTGCGACCTACGAGCCTTAAAGCATCGCAGCGCATGTTTGAACACAAACCACTCTGGACAGGAAACATTAAGACCCGGGCATGAAGAGAGAAATGCTTTAGACCAGCCAGCTCTTACGTGACTGCATCAGCGCCTGGCAGGGAGCAGCTGCTGGCTAACGGAATTACCAACATCGTCCAACTCTCCGGGCAGCACGAAGCCGCCGGCGAGCGAAAGTGCCGAGCTCGGGCTGAGCTAATTGAATTGCAGAGAGTGCAGGACTTTGTACCAAGTGCTCCGCTCCCACTGCCAGGGCCCCACTCAGATACCCCAGATAATCAATAGCTGCTCTGATGTCTCTGACCTCTGACCTCCATACCGAGGCTTCTATTCTGGGACTCGGCTTACGCGGTTGTTGTTCTTCGGATGCTCTCAGAGGCTTATAACGCTCCTCTTTGTTCAGCGGGCTGCTGAGTCCACGCTAGCTGGAGCACTTTGGACCTATTGGTCGTTTCCCAATAGGGGATCGATAGCACGTAAACCACCGACTGCATTGTGACGTTAACAGGAAGCACACGAGGAGACTGAGGAGTCCGTGACGGAGCATCTCTCAGGGGGGTTCAGTTGGGTCCGACACGGAGAAGCAGGTTGGAGGAGCTCAAGCTGCCTCCTGCATATTAAATCCACTGCAGAAGCATCTGCTGATTATCATAATGAGGCGGGACGTTTCACGCTCACCACCGCCGCTAATGTCTAATGACATGTTAGAGGGGACCTGAGGTCTTCCCCCGCAGAGGGGGGGGGGGGGGGGCTCACGGGTCACGGTTGTGATCATAAGTATCCGCACGTCTGATCAATAATACCCACAATCAGCAGCGAGGAAACGTAACAAACCAACTGGCCACCTGACATCCAGCAGAGAGCCAATCGTAGCCGGAGGACCCAGCCGACCAATCACACGCCGTCCTCGTTCTTCTCCTCCTGAAATATTAACGAGCTCTCCCCCCGCGCTGAGCCTCCCCCGCCGGAGGGGGGAGGATCAATAGCAGAGCTTCTGTCAGTCCTTCATATGCAACCATGTCCCATCAGTTAGGACGTGTTCCTCTGAGGGTCTCACAGCTCGTCTTCAGGGGGACGACGAGCTCTTCGGGTACATGAAAGAAACCCGGGAGTCAAACACGGATCCGTCTGCTCATCATCATCGAACTCGTCGATTTAGGATTAATAGATTGAAAAATCTCCATCAGAGCGTCCTGAATGGGCCTTCTGGTAAAATGTCCAAAACAGTCCAACACGGAGATTCAGTCAATCATCAAGACGGTTACTTCAGCTCATATTGATCCACTGAAGGTCATTTTTTAAATACCTTTCTCCTTACGATAACATAGTAATATTTACTTCATGTTTAATGTGGCATTTTGTTTAACAACATGGTTCTAACCATTTAGTGATCATTCAAAATGACATCAAACATCTTTGATCCACCCGTTCAGATTCATTGCGGCGGTCCGATCAGACCGGTTCTGTTCGCTAGAAGGTCCGACTCCATACGCGTTGATTAAAACCAGCAGCATCACGTCCACTGATCAAGACCTTTATTACATACTGATAATACTGCCTGCAGTGAAACACACATGACCCAGGAAGAGGCTTCAACCTGCTGCCAGAGGAGACAGGAAGCCCGATGCAGTAGATAAGCTCCGGTGAAACGGACTCCTTCTGCCGACTCGGGGATATTTCGTGGACAGCTGATGGTCAAAACGACTCCGGGAACCTGATCTCGGAGGAGGTGTTCTCCACAGCAACTGATGCTGTGACGGCCTCCTCCCATCATCAAGGTCCTTCATCAGACCTGTTTACCTCCATCAGGGACGATTCGCTCGCCCTCACAAGTCCTCATCTGCGCGCCGCAAACTGTTTCACAGCAGACGTTTAGCATTTAAAAAGTCTCCTGATCATCTCAGTGCATCTGGGAGACGTTTGCGTCGAGGTAAACCTTCACACTGAGCATCGTTTCACCCAACAACAGGACGTGCATGTTTCCCTTGTTTCTCACTAAAACAAGACTTTTCTTCGGTGGTATTTTTAAATGCATTATTCATTATTTCCTTTGTAGAAATGCAGCTAAAGTTGTAAATGATTTGAGGAAGATAAAAATAGTATAGCAACAACAAAGCAACCCTCAGGTCACGGGAGGAGAATCATCAATCCATAAATAATCACCGAGCTGCGTGACCAATAAAGCCTTTAGATGATCAACAACATGATTTGAAAAGTCACTACCTACTAAAAAATGAGCTGACACAAACCAAAACCCCGTGGTGGTCTTCAAAGATGCGGTCTCTCTTTGATGGGACCGTGTGAGGAAGCGTGAGCAGAAGCAACCAACCAGCAGCTTCCTGCCGGCAGTGATCTGATAGTGGGGTGGGGTGGGGGGGGGGCAGATGATCTGAGCTCCCGGAGAGGGATCATCTGACTGGGCACGGCTCCATCAGCTTCACAGAGTTAAAGGAGCTTGTGGTTGTACTCTAGAAGGGGACAAATACCTCAGTAGAGTCCATGTACACACAGACCAGGACGCGCTGCTTCGGCTTCAGAGTGGAAATGTTGTGTTAGGGAAACGGGAGGCGCGGCAGACTCTGTGTTTAATAAAGGCCATTTTGTGGTGCAGATGATGGTTTAACACGCGAGCACAATGCGAGTACAGTCCTGTGTCATGAGCATCACACGGCTCATTGTGTGTCCTACGCCGTCCAGAACATGCACAGCTAGTATGTTCAAGACTGTTCCCATCAGCCGGCAGGACAGAGGACAGAGGACAGAGGACAGCGGTGACTCACCACTGCTGTAGGCATAGGGGGACTCGGCCGACCCGTCCTGCAGGCTGTCCAGGATCTCTCCTTTGCCCACGTCGCTGTCTCCCACCAGCAGGAACTTCAGCAGGTAGTCGTAGCTCTTCACCGGGCTGCCCTGGCTGACCATCGTGTCTCCCATCGGAGCCCGGGGGGTGGGGGGTCCCAGGGTCCCGGGGTCCGATCACTTGAACCTGAGCGCTGGGTCGCGTTAGGCCATGGACGTCCGCCGGCTCTAAAAGTCCTGCAAACTCCGGGTGATGCTGAGAATAAAAAGGGCCTCACAGGGATGTCCTGGTTGAAAAACAAGCTAGGAGCCAAAAATGTGTTTCTGAGAAGAACATCGTCCTTATTGATCCAGTAACGGTCAGAAGAATAAGAAGAATGATCAGTGAGGGGAACTTTAACTAGCTGACTGACAGCTTATAAATATGTGTGACTGCAATCTCACACTGAATTCCCTTCTTGATCCATAAAAACATAAAAGTGACAGATGAGCGTAGATCTGAAGGAGAAAACAATCAGAGTGTAACTGGAGCTGCATCCGGACGGGGAGGTCTATGTGGGCAAGATAAGCATGCTTATGGAATATTATACGCCTCTTTGCGTTGCACGAGCAGATATCTCGTTTTCAAGCCAGCGAAACCACTACTTGAGATATCGTTTTGTTCCCCTCTAACAGAAACGCTCTGTGGCAAGTTAGCAGGGGAACAACAAGCTAGCACACTAGCTTAGCTATTAGCACCGGTGCTAACGGTGTCAAAGCGGACCATCAGACACGATAGTTGTTCAGAAAACAAAGACGCCGTCACGGGTTACTCGCTCCACCGCACACGCGCACGTGGCCGGTTTAACTCTGCTTCGCACTAGTTGAAAAAGAGACCGCTCACAGGAAGCTAAATGCTAATTTAGCTAGCACGTAGCTCAACTTCCCCCGACGTCTGAGTAAATGTCAGGGCCCCCTTGTCTTCATTTAGTCCGGGATGACAAAGATTCCCGTAACTTCGCTCCGTTCTTATCCGGAAAACCCCGATCTCTGCGAGAGGTCAAAAGTCTGTGTCCCTTTTAAGTCCAGTCCAAATCCCCGTAGGAGTACTGGGAAATCTCAGTCCGTAATTTGTCCATTTTCCTCCATGGCATTGAATCATAGTCACGCCTGTGACTGCTCCGGTACCGCGCTACGACACCGACTGAGCCGCTGACAGATCGGGCTGCTCCGCCTCCCTCGTTCCCGCCCTCTCACTCCAAGCCCCGCCCATCCACTCATATGATTGGGCGCTGTTTCCGTGGTTTGCTACGCAGGCAGGATTACATTGGCTGAGCCAAAACGTCAATCGAAGTCCAATGTCAACAACACGCCGATGGTGGTGAAGGGGGAACGTGGACAACAAAGGTGATTAATATCTCACTGAATACGCTCAGAACAATGGACATAACGCGGATAAAACACGGTTGAGTCAAGAAGTCAATTCTGAGAATCTTAAAGGGCATTAAGCAAAATCAAAGACAACATTTTGGTTGATTTTGGAGAACGTCAGTTTCACTCATCCTCATATAGGATGTGGGCTTAACATGACATCACTTATTACAATCCTGTAATATAGTATTTTAGTAAAACTTACTTTGTTTACTTTCTTAGAGGCAATAAAATATGTGTTGATTCCTGCTTACTTTGGAACTGTGGAGTGATTATTTGGTTGTTTTTATGTTTATTTGTGATGACACTAGGGGCACCAGGCGTTTAAAGGCGTTTTAGGTGTGTAAAGGTGATGCACCAGGTTGGCCCAAAGATTGATAAATTGTTATGACAAATGACACTGTTGCATATTATCCTCTGTTAAAATGCCACGAGACAGATTGCATGTTGTATGAAGTAAAAGTATGTAGTAACATTAATAACTTTGTGTGTGGCCGTATGAGTGTGTGTTTAAAGTTTTCACAACACGATGAGTCACCGAAGGAGAAACTCATTTTGTTGTGAAACTACTACTCTTTTGCTGATTAACTTCAGGATAAATAGATGAAATGAAACTCTGAGTTAAACTAAATGTGTAAAAAACACGCTGGGTGAAGCTTTTACTGCAAAACCTGTGCTTTTATTCTGAAAAGCACTCAACAATGTAGACCAGATAGATGGTCTCTTTCTGTACCAGTTATGGTTCACTGCTGGTAAAACTAATCCTGTTAAATAGCAAATGCGTTCCACTTGGAATAGATTAATAATGTATTGATATTACAGATAAAATGAAATAATATAAGACTGTCACAACATTAAAATTATTCTATTAACAGTTTATAAAGAGATAAGAGCAGTATGTCAAATAAGCACAGATTTTTATTAAGAGACAATGGAAGACTTAGTTTGGATCAAAAGTGGTATGAAATAAAAGACCAATAGAAAGAAAAATACACATTTATTGAGAAATTTCAGAAAATCATCAGAAATCAACAAATTCATATTCAACCTGGATTGGGACAAAAACATGAAAACCATCAGCCGGGCACAATAACAATAATAATTATGATGGATTACTTTAAGTATTGTAGAGTTTGTGTTGAGTGAGGCATCGTGTTTGTTACAAAGGACAATATTGAACTGAAAACGACATAAATTGGCACAAATGCTGACAAACTGACCCAGAGCGGAATCCGTCTGGTTGTTATAAGGGTTTCCATAGCAACAGAACACAATGAGTGTCATCGTTTCATGTAGTAATAAAAACACAAATTATTAAACATATGAATAATAAAGATAAATCAGTCTGTATTATTTGACTTTTGCAAATACTTTAATAATATAAAATCTAAAAATCTACAACTATCTACACGATCAGTGCAGTTAACACATAAATATCAGATTTACGACAAGAATTCCTCACATTTTTCTAAAAAAAAAGAACTACCAATACAAATTAAATTCATGAACAATTATATTTTAAAATCTAATTTAAGGTCCAACGTTTAATGGTGACTATGTTATTAAAACCAGAAATCGTGGGGTCGTGCTGTTTTCATGTGGCAGTAATACGGTATATGACTAAAAATATAAACGATAAATATAAAAGTATGACTAACTATCAGCGTTAAAAGTAAAAAGGGAATTGAATTAAAGTCTAAAGTAAGAAGAGATTTTTATTCATGGTTCAAATTATTTTAACAATGACAGAAAAAAATGTGAATTTAACTCAAATATATATTGAAGATTTTCTGAGATTAAAGAGGTGAATTTCTGAGAAAATAAATCCAAATTATCAAGAAAATTAAACGGCAAGATTCTGTGATTATGAAGTCACAGATTTACAAGAAAAATACTTTTGGGCCGTTTTGGGTTGAGGAACAAAATCCGTTCTCTTGTGGAGTGTGAAACCATGGCAACGGCCGCCTGAACGTTTGGTAAGGTAACAACGTCCTGTGAGCGAGTGAAGGTCCTGAAAGATACATACAGGTGAACAGAAATACATACAATTCATATATTTTGCTCGCGGGTCACAACCTTCGTCTCAGAGAAGATCTTCTGCGAGTTTTGTCTCAGATTGTTCCCCCCCCCCCCTCCCCCGGCACGGCCTTTTAATTTGGTCCTTTAGTGAAGCTTCCGTGAAGGAAACACCAAGAATAAAAATGACTGAGTTTAATTTCATATCTGACCTTAACGAAACTGTAACAAAATAGATGGATAGATATAAACTTTATTAATCCCCAAGGGGAAATACTCATCTTACGATCACAGTTCTCACAACAGCAGGACCTGACTACTTGCTGGTTTTTAGGTTTACTGGCTCTAAAACATGAACTCCGATCAGAATCAGAAAGTACGGTGGCCTCTCAGGTTCAGTCCTTCCAATCGGACATGTCACTTCCCTTTCCTCGGAGCCTCCTCAGTCCGTCTTGGTGGTTTTGTGCCTCCAGGGGTAAACCAGCTCCCCAACAAACAGCTTCTTGACCAGGGCGGCCCACGAGTCTCTGGGGTAGCAGCTGTAGGTGGGCGTGCGGTAGGTCTGGACCACCGTGCTGCACTTCAGAGGGTTGATCTGAGGAGGAGAACGTACTGAGGAGGAGGCTCAAACATTACACATTAGAACAAGATCTTCAAAGCAGAAACCAAACGTGACCTCTCACCTCCATCAGCAGGTGGAGGGCCGTCCCAGGCTCCTCACACAGCACCCTGAACTTCACGCCCTCTGGAAGAGATCAGTGGTTGGATTCAATCAGATTACGTCCAGTCTGTAGATATCTACGGTCTAAGAAGACTCCAGGAGGATCCTGTGAGCACTGGGTTTATTATCCTCTGGTCCTCAGACTCCAGGACGAAGCTCCACCTACCTGCCAGGCGGTGGTGGCGAGTGAGGCGGAGGCCCAGAGCGAACAGGGGGAAGGAGTTGATGAAGTCCACGCTGAGGTGGAGGACGCCCTGGAACAGCACCACCACCAAGCGCAGCTGCAGGACACGGGGACACACAGGCGTCAAAAACAAACACACCCCACCGGGAGCAGAAAGGGCAGGAGGCCCTAAACCACTCGAGAAGTTCTGGCTTGTAAATGTTCAGTCAAACGTGCAGGAGCCACCATGTGGCGCTAAGGGCAGAAGTTCTAATAATCTCCAGGGCAGTTTGACGGGAATAACATGCTTGTTACAGCGTCCAGAGGCAGTGATGGATCTGAATCACACTCGTGTGTATAATATAGATGGTTTCCTGCACCAGAGTGAAGACCAGGTAGTAGAGCGCCGTGGTGGGGAGCAGGAACAGCAGGATGGTGAAGAGCAGCGTGCCGATGAAGAGCTGAGGACAAGAGACATCCCAGTTAGTGGGTCTGTCAGTGTGTCAATGTGTGTGTGTGTGTGTCCGTCACCTGGTCCAGGTCGTAGGAGCAGGAGTCCACCCTTTGTCTCAGGACGTTCCACTTCTTCCCTCTGAAGAGCCTCCAGAGAGACGAGAGGCCGTAGATCTTCAGGCAGTACAGCCTGAACACGACACACCATAATATAATATATAGATATGAGAACATTAAACACTCATATGTACTGTTATAGGTTTGCTCACAGAAGTAAAACTGAATTATAAAAAATAACCATCTTTTCTCACCTCACCTTTAAATATGAATAAAAGAAAGAAGGAAAAGAGAAGAATTGGAAGTTATATTTATCTGTGGTTCATGTACAGGCCTCTTGTTCAATTATTTAATGTGCTAAATCCATAATTCATTGTTACATTCAAAGGGGAGTTCAAACCTTTTACGAGAAGCTTTTAGGAATAAAGGAGAGTAAATATAAAAATGATGGTCAGACCCCCCCATGAACTGTAAAATATCTATAAACTATTATTCTGGTATATTCTCACATAATAACAGCAAGAAGTCTGAGGAAAGGAGCGCGTCTCGGATCACAGCAGGAGGTATTTTTAGGTTCACGCATTCAGATTTAATAAGTCACTGACAAAGCCCCTTAAACTCATATTCAGAGAGCTGCTGGAGCATCAATATGCAGCGAGGACAGTTGGCAATATTTCATTTTGCTCCACGGATCTGTGGAGCAAATTCATAATTCATTCATTCAGATCCAAGAGCCTCGTCTCAGAGCTCAGCCTCCATCACACCACACGCCCGCAGGCAGAGTTCAGTTCATGACGGAACATCCTGAAGCGCTGATCACTTCTCATAAGTGAAACCTGCACAAAGCAGCCTGAACGTTCTCTGTGAAGCAGCAGATGTTCAGGGTGATGCCGTCAGTTCAAACCAGCGAAGTAGGACACCAAGAGCTACGACAGAGAAGCCGGAGGGAGCGCGGACGCCTCACCTGGCTCCGTAGACGTAGAAGCAGTAGATGTGGAAGGTGAGCAGGGCCACCATGTCAGAGAGCAGCGAGAGGGCAAAGGTCAGGCCGAAGCAGGCCGACAGGCCTCCGTACCACAGGATCCCCTCGACGAAGGGGGACATCAGGTGGACGTAGCCTGGGGGAGGCAGGAGGCGTGAGGAGGAGGCGGGGGGGGGGCAGCTGAGCTCTGTGTGCTGTGTGCGAGACTCACTGATCCACAGGTGGATGTGATAGAGGAAGAAGCGACCCAGGACCTGGTCCAGAGCCCGGTTCATCTTCAGCCCAGCGGGAGCTCCCATCAGCCACTGCAGCAGCTCCTCCAGCTCCTTCGCCACATGCTGAGGAGGAACCGCACCGCTCATCAGCTACAGCTTTGTTCCACTTACGCTTCACAGCGAGGCTTCCATCAGCTCCGCAGAGAGGAAGTCGTACCTCAGCTGCAGGAAGCAGCGCGTTGGCCAACATGGAGATGTGCTCGTCTCTGTAGAGCCACCAGACCAGCAACATGCCCAGAGACACGTCCACCAGGAAGGACACCACCATGTTGGCCTTCCTACGGACAGACAGGGACAGAGACACAGAGTGTCACGGATTCATCTCTTTCTGACAAATGAATTAATAGTAAATAAATACTCAATCAGAAACATTCGGTGGGGTCTAAATCCTGGATCACCTCATGAAGTGGGCGTGTCCGGCGGCGGGCGTCCTGGAGCTCAGCGTCCTCATGTGTTCGCTTCTGTAGCTCAGCTGCACACACGTGGACAGCTTACTGGACAGGAAGCGCAGTGGGAAGAGGCTGAAGACCCTGAGGAGGAGACAGGGTGATGATGATGAGGGTGATGATGATGATGAGCATGACGATGAGGTTTACAGATCAGAGTCACTCCCCTCCAACTCCCACAGAAGGGAGCCGACGCCATGTTGGACAAATCTATTCTTAAGACAAGATCCATCGCAGCCAGGACACAGTGTCTCCTTGTCTCTACAAGACACATCTTATAAACGTGAGCAGGTGTCTTCATGGCTCCTCCCCTCTCACCGGAGGTTACAGATCCAGGACCAGACGGAGAGCAGCCAGCCGATGAGCAGGCAGAGCGGGACGGACGCCTGCTTCAGCAGCTCCACGATGATGCTCGCCTCCCGTCCCTCCGTCTGCCAGTGGGTGGACTTCAGCGGCCCGTTGTCGTAGCGATCCAGGAAGAAGAGAGGGGCGCTGCTGGCCACAGTCCGGAACATCTGGACCGGAGGGGGGAGCTTGTAAACTGAGCTGCTTACGCACGTGCACTTCACTCTGTACGTCCTCTGGCAACATGTAAACAAGTGTTGTTGTTCCCTTTAGGAGGACTACAAACTGTGGAGACGACCGCCGGCGGCTACCTGTCTCAGCTCGGACGGGGGATCCGTTGTGGGGTGAGGAACTCCGTTCTCCACGGGGTGGAGCTGCGAGAACATCACCTTCTTCTGCTCGTAGTGGACAAAGATCACCTTCTCCTCCTCCTCCTCCTCCTCTTCTTCATCACCTCCCTCAACCTTCTTCTTCGCTTCCCTCTGGACTACTTTTCCATCTAGTTAAATTAATTGTAAACGCTTGATAGTTTTCTTAACTTCCTTGAACAAAACACGCTGCTTAGGTTTATTATTACTAATTAGTACTTGATACAGAAACTAAATAACTCAATTAAAAACAACAATAACTCAATGAAATGAAAATGTGCTTCAGCAGTACATCAATAGTTTGCACAGGAAAGTAATCGTTGAATTGATTCTTTTCATGTTGCAAACAGAAACTAGTGGTGAGCAGAGAGCACAAGGACTGTAGAGGGTCTCACTCTGATCGCGGTGGACCACCTGGCAGGTGAAGCCCGTCTTGCCCAGCTCGCGGTTGATCTGGAGCCAGCGTTCCTGGGGGAAGATGGTGCTGAGGTCTCTCAGGAAGCTCTCCATGCCCTCCTGTCCGTCTTTGGGTAAACTCCAGGAGCCGAGCACCGACAGCTCCACCCCACTCTGAGCCTGCATCTACGCGGGGGGGCAGAATAAAGACCGTGTACCTTTTCTAATCCAGTAATGTTGTATCTTTGTTTGCATCAGCAATAAGAGGAGCAACAGTGTTATGATTCAGCAGATTTCTGTTCTTCTTTTCATCCAGAAGACCCAAACCCGGCCGGCCCGGTGTCGCACTGACCTTCTGGACGTACTGTTTGACCTGCCCCGGGATGAAGGGGTAGTGGATCACCGCCAGCACCACGGCCGAGTCGTGGCCGGAGATCCAGCGGCCGACCAGCAGGCCGCTGTCGGCCCGGTTACAGCACTGCGGGAAGAAGACCTTCAGCACCATGGCGTCAGTGGAGCTCCACGCTCAGCCTCCAGAAGCGGGTCCTTCCTCTGCTGCACACAACGTTCATTTTATTAAAACAAAAAATACAGAAACGTAATGTTCATCCGCCTCGCGATCACTTGTGATTTACGCATTAAACCCACTGGTTCCTCCTGAAGACACATTTCCTGTAAAACACTACAAAACTGTAGTTTTAAACACCTTGATGATGTGCTCTACCGTTAACTTCATTCCACACCTTTTTAGAAGGGGGGGGGGGGGGCTGTTATAATGGTAGGGGAAACATTGACCCTATTTGTAGTTTCAAATACACTATGATTTATTGTTATAGATATGTCATAGAAAAGTACACAAGAAGAAATGCCCCCCGAAAAAACAGCTTCAATGTTAGTAAGTAATGTTAATTTAAATCGATGTATTATCACACCATAATATAGTATACTGTATTATTTTATATTCTAGTACTTTTACTAGTATGTGTACTGCTTCCACAACTGACCGTATTTCCAAAAGCGCAACAAAATAATTGTAATTAAAGACCAACGTGATATTGATTTATAACAATTCCTGTTATTCGTGAGATACTCGTCTTCTGTGGAGTGATTCACATGAAAGTGCGACTGGATATGAATTAAAGGATATTAAATGTACAGATGTTTCTTTCGAGTTTGGGGGCGAGCGGAAATGAGCGGCGCGAGGCGGTTGACCTCCTTCGATGACCTTGACGTATTGACGGTCTCGCGCGTTGTTGTGGCAACACAGAAGGCTCGAGGCAGATATTGATGTCAGTGACGTCAGCGAGCTAGCAAAGAAAGTAGGTTAGCTTCGGTTTGTTAACGAAAAATAAAAGCGGGAATTTACAGATGAAATATGTTTATTTAAAAAAGGCCGAAGCACATTATTTGAAAAGAGCACTTGAGGCCATCGTGTAAGATTGAGCCGTGAAGGTTTTCTCACCGGCAATAAGACACATTTGATTAGACGATAATGGCGCTACGTCATTTCACCAGAGGTTTAACATCCAACTGTCTAACCACATAATGGATTCCAGATACGTGTATTAAAATAAACCCTATTTACCTTCTTTAACACCACAACGCCATTTGTTACTTCGAGTAGAGTTCGGTTAAGCCGCCATATTGTTTGTTGACAGTCCGATGCATTAAGTGGTCCGGGGAGAAACGCGATGTTTACGTGTGTTCCGGTTATCTTTGTACATCCCGTCGAGTTGCTTTAAAAGATGAAAGCGAGGGAATCATGAAATGTTATTCATATTAAAATCATAAAGGTTTTTTTTCAACTGTCTCAAACGTGTTTTGAATCATTTCAGTAGGACTTGGCACTCAGGACAGTAGTGTTTATCGGATGTTTTGTTTATCTTTAAGTATAAAATAATACACTTTACACTAGCAAAAATGGAATTGGACAAAACAATCAACAAATATTACATCATGGTAACATACGTCTGAGAATAGTTTCAGTGGTTAACAGTTTACTAATAAAAGCAATATATGTATAAATACAAATATCAACTTATATTAATCTTAAAAACTTCACATAGTCAATTTATTTTTTGTACCAAACTTTCAGGACATTTCTGGCTCATTAAAAAATCCTTCAGTCCTAAATGTATTCAATTGATAATGTCGACACTTTAATCATTACAATACTGCTACTACTATTACATCTGCTACTACGACTAATAATAAGTATGATAATACCAATAATAACGACATGCTTGTTACTCACCACTAAAGGCTCAGTGTGTGTGCTGATGAGTTATTGGTGAATGAGGAGTTGGCCCAACCGTAAAGAGATTTATCTCCTGCTGCAGTGACATAGCAAGAAAAGAGCGGGATGCAAACCTCCAACCAGCGAAAAGAAAAATCAAATATTCTTGAAAGATTGTTAACTTCAGACCTTTCAAGTACTAAATATCCTCATACGTCACTAAAATAGCTATTTTTTATCTTTGTGTGTCAAAACAACAACAGGGTTAAATTATTATTTTATATTTACTTAATCGTATTTGATGTATTTCCAATTTAATAAAAGCATATACGACAATACATATACATACAATGATATATGTTTACATTTATAATTGTTTTATTTCATGCATTTTATGTACACTAAAAGAAAACTACAATTCCCATGGGTCTAGCGTGACAAGATCGCGATGCCTTGTGGGTAAGCCGGAAGTAAACACCGACACGTTGAGGGAACATGGAGGGCTCAGAGCCGGACCGACCCGCAGAGAGCGATGCGGTGGAGAAGACGGATGTCTTACGGGACTTTCAGGCGTCTTTCTTCGCGATGAGGCGTCTGCGTTCTTTTCCCTGGACGGTGAGCACCAGAGACGTCTTCGTGTGACGTCAGACGAGCGCCTAACCAAACATGTGTCACTGCTTCACCGGTCCGCGGATTCTCCTGTGTGAATGTTTTATTAAACCCTTTGTGGGCTTAAAATGGAAAAGGAACATAACAGGCGACTTTAACTAGCTCTTTTACGTTGATTTGTTCAAATGCCATTTTGTTGTTTTCAATATTTAATATTGTATTTGACATGAAATCCAGGGTGTAGTAATGTGTTAAATATGTGTTAAAAGATCACAATTGATTAATATATTTTACATATCACACAAGTGTTGGCTGATGTTCTGTTGTGTAGTAAATAAAGGAAGGAGGCAATAGCTTTTGTATTAAAATTATTGTATCCAAATTGTGGGGAAATCCTTAACACTTTACTCATGAATAAGTGTATTTAGCAAATACATCTCATCAAAGACGTTAAAAAGCTTCAGAGTTTATAACTTGTAACAAATTTCTACGTTTCAGTTTTTAGAAAAATATCTAGAATGCAACAAATCGTCAGATCTGATTTCCGACATCCTAAAACAGGTGAGTGAGCCGCTGTCGGACGTACGATCATAAAGAGTTTTGATACGATGACCGATAGGGAGTCTTTTGTGTCTTTGACAGACCTGTCTTCACTCTCTGAGCCGGACGTGTCCTCCTTCGGTCAGATACAGGAAGCGCTTCCTCTCCGAGCTCATCAGGCGGGTCAGTTTCTGAACCACCACTTTGTTTAGTTACTTTAATTTGTTCTTGTTGATTATTAGAGAATCTCCCTTTAATCAACCAGATCATTCAGTCAGTTTTTTTTATAAATGCAACACACGTATTTTGTTTTAATGTAAAAGCAAAGATTCCATTAAACTCATGGTCACACGCTTATTAGAGACCTGTCAATCACAGTAAGCTCCACCCTAAAGCGTCCCCTGCTTTATGTCTGTTTGACTCTACATGGACCGTAATTCACTAAATGACCATCATGCTGTATTAAAGAAGACTTGAAACTAGAGACTGAGACCATAAAGTAATGTTTACAATGTTTACTGAGGGAACAAATAAGTCATGTTCTCATATAGGACCAGAGGAGTCGCCCCCTGGTGGTCATTAGAGAGAATGCAGCTTTAGCTTTGGTTTCTCTCGTGTCCCCACAGGAGGAGGCGGCGGGCTGTGACCCGCTGGACGAGCTGTACGACGCGCTGGCTGAAGTCATCGCCGCTGAAGACACGACTGAGTGCTACAAGAGCTACCTGCTGGTACCCATGAAGCAATACTACCTATGAAGAGATGAATAGAAACAAATAGCGCCAACACAAGTAATTAGTATTCATTTCGTGCTCTGCAGCCCGGCGGGGGGGCCGTCAGTCTGCTGGAGAGCGTGGCTCTGATCTCGGAGGGGACCACCGGTCTGGTGACGTGGGAGGCGGCTCTCTACCTGGCTGAGTGGGCTCTGGACCACCGCCACACCTTCACCGGCAGGTACCCCAAACAAGCCTCCACCATTTTTTTCAATATAAAATATATTTTTTGATTTGGCAAAAACACAAGATATTTTGCATTTTTTTTCAAAACATTTCTTCCCCTGATATTGTTTGGGGAACTTAACCCCGCCCCCTTTGGTCCCTCAGGACGGTCCTGGAGCTCGGCAGCGGCGTGGGTCTGACCGGCGTGGCCATCTGTCGCTCCTGTGGCCCGAGCAGGTACGTGTTCAGCGACTGTCACCCCGAAGTCCTGCAGAAGCTGAGAGGCAACGTGCGGCGAAACGGGCTGACTGAGCCGGCGGCCGCGGTGGAGGAGCTGGACTGGACCACCGTGACGGGGGCGCGGGTCGCTCAGGTCGGAGCCGACGTGGTCATCGCTGCAGGTCAGAGTCCAGAGGGCCGGTGCGTCCCAGAGGATTCGTGTCGGAGAGTTTGATGGAGAGTTTGACGGAGTTGTCTGGTGACTTTGTAATCGGATCCATCGATTATAAAGAAATCTTGATCCTCGCTGCTTAACAGAAGTTGGTGCAAAACGATCACAAAGATCAGCCTCCCTGAGATGCAGATGTTTCCTCCCTCTGGTGCAGATGTGGTGTACGACCCGGAGGTCGTGGAGAGTCTGGTGAAGCTGCTGTCTGAGGTCCTGAGGGGTTCGTCCCCGGAGCTCCTCGTCTGCTCCACCGTCAGGAACCAGGAGACGTATGGCGGCTTCAAGCAGCAGCTCAGTGAGAGGAACCCGCTCAGTAAGTCAACGACTCGTCCAACATTCACACCTTTCTGACGCGCTCTTATTTTGACAGGAGGCGCCGGGATCGAACACCGCGTGATGTCGGGCGACGTCAGCCGGGTGTTTCATTACGACAGAGTCGCTCCAGTAGAAATAATCTCACTGTTCAGGTGACACAATAAAGATTTTATATACAAATGTACATCGTATCAAAGTCCTTTTTATACATTCAGGTAGAAAACAAACAACGGAATGAAAAGGTTTTTAGGTCCTAATAATAAAAATAATAAGTATTAAAGATTTACAATCCTCTTTAGTCAGTAACTCCATTCAGATACGTTTTATTCTTAATCTTGGCGTCGGTGGTTGAAGGTCCCGTCAGGGCGGCGCAACCAGTGGCAGGACGTTCTGGTCCCAGTTGTCGTCCCAGCTCTGTCCCCTGCTGGTCCGCAGGTTCCTCCTGAAGTCTCCCAGTCTGCCGTCTGAGGAGGGAAACCCTGAGAGGAGAGACTGAGACACAGGGAGGGACGTCCTTTAGACTAGGAGACAGAGACACTGTACTCAGTGCTGGGAGGGGTCGGAGGTCGTATGAAGTCAGAAGAAGCCTCTTGCTCGCACCTTGAGCTGCTCGGCGAGCTCCTGAGAGTCTCTGAAGATCAGACCGTTCTCCTCGTGCTTCACCAGCTCGTGTAAACTGAGGACAAGAGACCGAATCATCATCATCACACAAGCACCAAGTCTAAATCCCCGTCTTTAACCATCTGAAGTGTTCGTCCCGTGTGTGTGTGTGTGTGTGTGTCTGTGTGTGTGCGCTCTCACCAGTTGAAGTGGATGGCGCAGACGGGCAAGCAGCAGCCAAACATGTCCACCACCTTCATGGGTAGATCCAGACCGCTGGACGACTTGTGGAGACAAACACCCAGATCGGCTGAACCTGAACACACACACACGTTTTTAATGGCCTTTTTTATCAGAGGTTCAGACTTTTATTTTGAAACAGCGTTTCAAAACGTTTGTGTCCTCCTCTCACCCAGTAAGACGGGGTAGTCCTCTGCCTCCAGCCACGGGGTGCAGATCTTCACGTGCTCCAAACGGAGGGAGTCGATCAGCTTCATGTAGTGATCCTTCTGAGGACCCCTACCTACACGCACACGCACACAGGTAAGCCCTGCTCCAGAGACAGGACAGACATGGACTCACACTCACTCACCTGTGATGACACACACCAGCGGTGGCAGAGCGGCTCCTGCGTTGATGAATCCTTCGTAATCTGTCGAGGACGGATCCACCGATGAGAAACAAACTTTCAACAGAAGAAGATCCGTGTTTTTAGAAAAGCTGTCGTACCTTCAAGGGCGTCCAGGAGGACGGAGAAGTCTTCGTCCTCTGGGGAGAGAGACGACACAGGTGTTACATCAAAATAGAAGCTCTGAGGATCATGCTTCAGAAGAGAAGAACAGTAAGAAAATTCAAAGAGTTTTTAGTTTTAAGCGACAAAGACGCCGCTCGTTGGTTTGCGGATGTTTTGATGTGGGACTTCGGCCATCTTGTTTTTCGATAACTAGTCAACAGGAAGCGACCATATAAGGACTGAGGAGGACGTATACGTCGCTGTTAGAGACCTGTCAATCAGTGTGTAGCCCCGCCCTAAAGCAGATGGTTATACTATGAATTAAAATCGTATTTGATAATCTCTTTTTCCACCTGTCCAGCTGGTGCTGCTGAGCAGCAGCGCCGGTCGCTCCGCCCTCAAGGTCACCGCGTCCCCACTGAGGTCACGGACGGAGAAGGCCGTCCCCTCCACCCGCTCGTCCTCCTCACACCTGGGGAGCACACGGCAGGTGAGGCCAAAAGGTGGAGAATCATTGGGCAATTCACAAGAACGACGAGCGCTGCGAGCGAAGGGCGCGTCGTCTCACCCGCTGCTCTGGAACTGAAGATGGGCGTCGGCCAGCCGGACGAAGAGCTCGTGCCTCCTCTTCACCGGCGTCTCCCTGAAGACGGAGGCCGGCCGGTCGTACAGCGTCGTCGCCCTGGAAACAGTCACAGCGCTCTGTCTCCGTGATGCTCGCACACACAGGCGGCGTCGGGCGACACCACCTCAACCTTGTGAAGCTTCTTTAACCGTCACCGTCACTGAGAGGCATTTACAGCCACTTCTGCTGGACTAAAAACCGACGTACCCGATGCCCCAGTTCTTCTGCAAGTCGTCCTTCATCGCCGCGGTAACGCACAGGCTGTGAGCGGCCAGAGGGCCGAAGAAGTGCTCGTACCTGGGAGGAGCGAACACCGACAGAGAGGGTTCAGGGGTGGGTGTCCTCGCCGATCGATCTGGTCGATCGCTGATCAATAAGCCTCTCACCACTTGGCCAGCCGGACCAGCGGGTGCGCCGCCCCGAGGCTCAGCGCCATGATGGTGAAGCCGTAGTTGTGCCAGTCGACGACGAACCTGCTGCCGCGCAGGACGCACACGAGCCAGGCCACCGCCATGCCGGGCAGGCCAGGAGGATTCTGGGGAACCACAGAGGGGCGGAGCTAAGTTCAGCTTGTGCAAGTACTTCTAGGTGATGTTGTTATCCGATAGTTTCTGTGTTATAAGAGCAGGAAACATTAATCTGTGTTTCTGAAAATGTTCCAACAGGTTCATTTATTTGAATTCAGAGCGTCAATATGACAAAGTACACAGAAAGTACACCAAGAGAAGTTAGGTACCTGCATCAGTATGTGAGACTGAGTCTCCATCTTCAGCAGAACAAGAAGAAGCTGCAGAGTCTGAAGAATCACCTTCGTCACATACGTGAAGATCTTTGGTCCAACTGAGGAAGAAGTACATGTTGTACTTTATATCGCACTACATCTCAGAAGGACGCTGTACTTGAATGTACTACATGTCGTTACTTCACGTTGTACTTTGTACCTTGAACTCCTTTCACTTCTCTTATGGGCTCCATCTTTATTCTCTCTTGTCTCAGAACGTCTTCGTGAGGTTTCGTTTCTAAAATGAGAAGAACAGAAAAAAATTGTTTTATTCATTCTGAGCTTTTTGAGAATATTTATCAATTTCACTATTTTTACAAACCAACCAATCTGATGATTATTGGAGGAAATGATCCTCAGATTAATCGATCATAAAAATAATGAGCTCCAGTTTATGAGCAACAATATGATATATTAGAATATACAACAGTATGACACACAGCTTGAGTACTACATTTTAATGATACTACTTATATACTTTTACAGAAGGACATTTTTCTGTAGTAGGGTATTCCTACAGTATTAGTCATTTTTCTGCGAGTATTTCTTTTTCATGCTAGTACTTCACTACAGTGTGGAATAGTTGTTTTTATTCTAACAGTACTTAGCAGCAGTAGCAGATGTTTTACACTGTGGTAATAGTGTAATTTTCCAGTATAGTATTTAGTACAGAGTACTTTCAAAGTGTGGTAACGGTATACTAGTAATACTTCACACAACTCTCTTATAAATGTAAATGGTAAATAGCCTGTACTTGTATAGCGCTTTTCTAGTCTTCTGACCACTCAAAGCGCTTTAACACTACATGACATCATTCACACCCATTCACACCCATTCATACACTGATGACAAGAGAACCATACACAGTGACACCTGCCATCAGTAACTAACATTCACACACTGCAGTCGCAGCTACAGGAGCAATGTTGGGTTAAGTGTCTTGCCCAAGGACACAACGGCATGCGGGTTAGCCGGGCCTGGGATCGAACCGACAACCCTCTGATTGAAGGACGACCTGCTCCCCACTTACCCACAGTTATAACATTGAGGTATTATTAGAATAAATGACACTTTATTATTGTTTTTGAGTGCTGCTGTTGGGGACGTGGAGGAAACAGGTGCATGAATGACGTAACGAGGGTTCACTCTTACCTGAGAACCCCACAAAGGTCACGTGATATCCGTGTTTGCTGAGGGACAGCGCGTGATACTGCATCCGGGGACTGCGACCCAGATCCCCCAGGACCAGCACGCAGACCCGCCGCTCGGTCCCGTCGTCCCGCCGCCGCAACCACAGCGACGCCAGTCCGGTGGCGACTGCCAGAGACACGACCGGCCACGTTACACCGGAACCGGGGGCGAACAAAGCCGCCGAAACGGAAGAAATCACAGCAAACGCGACCAGAATCGCCGCGCCGGTGCAGCGCGTCGCCATGTTTGTTTGTGGTGGGTGATGACGTGGCTCAGCGGAGGAGGAGGAGCTTCAGTTTAAAGGGACCGCGGACTTTACGGTGCGTTTAGGTACAGACGATAGGGATGGAATTTCTAAAGCAGTATTAATTTATTATTTTTCAACTCATCACTCCCCTGCACACCCTCTCGACTCTCTACTCCACCTGTACACACCCTTGATCACTTTCACACACACTCACAGTACACTTGTGTAGAGTATCTGTTCGCCTGTGGACTTAATTTGTAAATGTGCTGTTCATCCATATTTCTTGCACTTTGTAAATGTGTCTCTTGGCAGATAAATGGTTCTGATTCTGATAACTTGAAACTTCACTCATTTAGGAATGTTTTGTTTCTTTGTTTAGGAATAAAATGGAAAAAACGGGCTCTTGTTGTCAAACAAGCTTTGTTTATCCGGGTGTGTGTTGCTCCAATAAATCTCCGTGAATTGAAGGGTCTGAATCTCCAGCGTGTTGTGTGTTTCTGGTCTGTGAGGGTCCTCATCACGACTCAAATAAAGTCAACAAGATAAACATTTTATAGGAATATAGTTAAGGCTGCAAAGAATGAATCCACAACAAACCATAACTTTAGACTTTAAACTATATTATAATAATATATTGCTTTATATTGAAATTAAACAACTCCATGGACACCAAAGTGCATTTGACCCGTTTTTACTTCACAGAGGAATTAACTTACACAATATTCAAAATAATCGTGAAAGCTTTCTCACTTTTAATCAGATAATAAAATAACATATGTATATTTTGTCATTATTTTAGATTTTGATCATTTGAAGAATATATTAGTATTATAATCATTACTACTACTACAATGTATAATTCCCTCATGCAGAAACCACACACACGCGGCTTAAATACACAGGGACGGTGCAGGTGATTGGACACAGGTGGACACAGGATGACAGGACACGGCAGGACGGGAGGTGAACCCAGGAGCGCAGAGGCGTGAAACTACAAAATAAAACGAGACCCAAACCGTGACAGGACCGTGAACCAGAAATAAAAAGACAGCCTCGGTGACGTCACGTGAAGCCCCTCCCTCGCCGGACCGGACGCAGCTTGTCCGCCTCCTGTCTCCTTGTCTCCTGTCCGGGGAGAAGATGCGGGCCGCGGGGCACCGGCTGGCCGCCGCGCTGGCTCTGTTTGCCGCAGCGTTGTGCGCGTGTCGCGCGGAGGTGATCGATGACGTGCTGAGCAGCCTCTCGCGGGGCGCGTCGTTCCTGGAGCGGCAGCACGCGCACATCAACCTGGACGGGGTGGTCGGGTTCCTCATGCTGCAGGGTACGTGCGCGCGTCTCGAAGAAAAACGAGCTGCAGAGGAGATCTCCTCCGGCTGCAGGAGAAACATTAGTGGGGGGCGCGTATCGCTAAAAGTTGAAGGAGCAAACTGAGCGTATTTTGGTTCTGAAGGTTTAGTGGGACATATATATATATATATATATATATGCAAAGTTCACCTTAGCAAAGCTACCAGGATCCATCCTCTGGGTACCACGCATGTCTGCAGAAAATGTCCATGTCAACATTTCAGTCCAGACCAGAGTCCTGAAGCTGCTGCCGGTGCAGGAGGAAAGGATCCATCCTCTGGGGAGCCTGACGTAACGGCATCGCTGTACCGGATGTGTTTCCTCTGCTCCTGATCCTCTCCTCCTTGTCGTTTCGCGTCGCAGCCGAGCTGAAGGAGGCCGTTCGGACGTGGCCGCACAGCGACCCGGTGAGCTGGGCCCAGAGAACCACGGCGGTCGCTCTGGTCAAACGTCTGGACCAGAGCTTCGACAAGGCCGTGGCCGCCCTGCAGCGGAACGACCCCAAGTACTACCGAGGTGAGGAGGGGAGACTACACTTCCCAGAGGCCCCTGCGGCGCGAACACTTTTGCTGAGTACGTTCATGTACTTAAGTGTCCCCCCCCCGGCCCCCCTTACGCCCCTCAGAGTTCGAGCCCCTGCTGTCATGGAGCTTCTGGTTAGTTCCTCGGGAGTGGAGCTCCACGGACCGCAGCCTGCTGTACCGATCCCACCATGAGCACCGAGTGCTACGACGAGCAGCTCAGCGACAAGTGTCTGACCCTGCTGCTGGGGACCTGGTATATACACACACACACACACACACACACACACACACACACACACACACACATCGAAGAGCCACTGAAAATTAATGAATTCCCCACGGTTTCTGAAGTAGGAGTAGTTTTGGAGGTGCAGGGCTGTACTGTTACATTGCTTAAATTGTACTCAATTACAAGTAAAAGTACTAGTGTTAAAAAATACGTAAAAGTACAAAGTGCTCTTCTCAAAAACTACTCGGAGTACAAATTTATTTTTTAACCGATGGATGTTTTATTGCATCGTCAATAGCAGACATTCAATGTATAAAATTCAAATTCAAAGCACATTTCTCAGACGAACAATATTAGAAAAATTACAGGAAATTTTACGGTGGCAAAACAAATCCAACAGTAAAACGCTGCGAGAGAAAAATGCGGCAATCACAAAAACGACCGGCGCACACGCGGCGCAAACTTCAAACAATAAGGATTTACACTGAAAAAAAAAAGAAAATCTGATGGTTTGAATATTACCTTAAATTGTGGGCGTACTCAATAGCGACTGTGGAGTTTAAAAGTAGCAAAGTACATTACATGGTGTAAATTGTACTCAAGTATGAGTACAATTACACACTACTCATAAAAGTACAAGTACCCCAAAAATCTACTTAATTACAGTAACGTGAGTATTTGTAATTTGTTACTTCCACCCCTGCTGGCGTGTGTCTGTGCGTCCCGAGCAGGAAGATGAACGGGACGCCCTGCATCGTCACCAAACCCTGCCGGGACACCATGACCCGCTTCGACTGCCCCCACTACTCCCTGTCCCACCAGCTGCTCTACTTCATGATCGGGAGGATGGTGAGACAGACAACACCTGCCCTGGATTGAAATCCCCGCCCTCTTTGTGGCCCCGCCTCCACGCGAGGCCACGCCCACTCCACTGACCTCTTTGTGTTTGCGTCTCAGAGAGGCTGCACCAACCTGCTGAAGGGCGACACCCGGCCCTCCCGAGCCAACATGACTGAGCGCAGCTACCAGAAGATCTTCTGCTCCAACATGATGAAGACCAACCAGGACATCATGAGGGAGGGTCTGACGGAGCAGACGGTGGACATCTTCATGGAGAACAGTGGGTTTCTCTTCGGCCTCCGCCATGTTTCCTGTGTGCCGTCTCCTCGTTCCTCACGGAGCGTCTCTGCTCTCCACCAACAGTCCTCATCTGCGGCCTGACGGGGTTCTCCGACTTCTACAAGGCCGACTGGCTGCAGCACATCCTGGGAATGCAGGACGCGGAGGTGGGCTGCTTCGGGAGGGACGGTGAGTCCGGAGATCGGGGAGGAGGAGCAGCGGGGAGGAGTAGTGAGGAGCAGGGGTCACACGCTCTTTGTTTGTCCTCCCCAGAGAGCGTCGTCTCTCAGATCATCGGAGACGAGCTGCTGGAGCAGCTGCAGCCTCACAGGAGGGTGAAGAGGAGGGAGAAGATCCTTGCAGGTACGTGGTGGAGCATCTGAGGGATACCTTTGGTAACCTTCTTTACGATGCCGTCAGAGGCTCGGAGGACGGGGGTGCTGACGGTGTGGTCTCCCTCAGACGGATGCTCCAGTCACATGACGGCGGTGGCCGTGGGTGCTCTGGGAGGATACCTGAACTTCTACCTGTCAGAGCAGGACATCACCAAGAGGCCGCTCTCCTGAACCCCCCCTCTCTTTTATTCTGTCTTCGATCACTATACCACATGTTGTCTATCCTCAGGTGCTGAATTTGACAGTTATAGAGCGAATTATTCCCAAACAAGGACGGCAGGTTACTGAATGTGAGGGTTCTGGTGCTGCTGGGGTCAAGACGGGTCTCCACTATGTAACGTGACTATCTATCTACTATCTAATGAAACCAGGTAAACCAGCGCGTCCTCTTTAGCTTCATGTCGAGGATCACTTAGTCACTCAGTGACATCGCCGGGTTTCACCTGAATTTGATGTAGAAAGTCATTTCCAGTTCACATCAGTCTCTTTAAAGTCTCAATGATCTGTAAAATAATTAAGCACTAATTTGGTCAAACTATATATGTATATGTACACATACACACATATATAAATGACAGTGTTATAATTATCTTTAGTGTTTAGTGTAGTTAGCGGTTCCTAAGGGAAACCTTACACAGGGTTTCTCTGGAAAAAAGCTTAAAAACAGATATTCACCATTAAAAGTCTGAGTGGATCATTATTCTATTCATCTAAAACATCATATTAAGGCCTTTATTTGCTTTAACTTGTGTCTGAGCCACAGTGCAGGAGGCAGCTGTACAAAGACCAAAGAGAATATATGCATGAACTCTGAATGTCATTACAAACATCATGTATTCACATTAGCAGAATAAACAAAGCAGTAAAACTCTTAAGTCTGCTTTGTTTACACACCCGATCCTCTGTGAGAGAATGTGATGACATCACTTGTTCCAGCCGATGACCTCATAGAACAGCGCCTTGAGCAGCCGGGCCTCGTAGGTGACGGTGTTCTTGCCGACGTGGACGCGCGTCTCCTCCAGAGGCTGCTCGATGACGGCGGGAACCTCCCGGCCGTACGCTGCGGGAGGGCGGGGCCAACATTATCAAAGGGTTGTTGACAGCTAAAGGTGTCACCTCTGGGGAGACGGCATGGGAGCAGGACAGTCTGGTGCTACTCAGATGTGCCATGAAGAGAAACGCTCACATACGTGTTTATCTCTTAAAACAGTATGCTTTACTTTTAACCGTATTCATAGAAATAAAGTAAGTAGAAGTGATAAGTATCGCTGAATGAAAGTTCTGCATATTTATATATTTGCGATAGAAATCCATACTTCTCTAAAACGAGCACAACAGTGAAAAACAGCACCTTTGGGTGACTTTTCTTTAGTGAATGTTTGGGAAGGAGACTTTAACATAACTTATAAACGGAAAGATATAATCAGATATTAGCGTGTGTGTGTGTGTGTGTGTGTGTGTGTGTGTGTGCGCTCACCCTCGCAGTGCTCCAGGAACTGGATGCACTCCTGGACCACAGCGTCCTTCAGCATGACCATGTGTTTGGACATGTTCTCCAGCAGAGACAGGAAGCAGCGCTTGGCGTAGAACCACGTGTCTGTCCCCAGCTACACACACACACACACACACATTGTTGGTGCACAACAATCTCAGACACAAAGTCCGACCTGATTCTTGTTGAACTGGTGACGATGAATAAGAAGCAGCTGACTGAAGCTCCTGAAGCCCCGGAGGGCTCAGACCTTTGACTTTTGTTCAAGACTCCACACGTGGGCGCTTTTAGAGTTCAACACTTGCTTATGGGGTCTGGTCTCTTCTGCTCAGCAACAGACAACACCTGGACTCCATAGACGTCTATGAGAAAATGACTCTACTTCTCCCTTGATTTATTCCTTCTGAAAAGGTTGTAAACAAGTCTTCTTTATACAGCACGATGTTCATTTAGTACTTTATGGTCCATTTAGAGTCAAACAGTCCATAAAGCAGGGGATGCTATAGGGCGGGGCTACACCCTGATTGACAGGTCTCTACCAGACTCAACCATCCAGAGAAGAGGTGGATGTCCGACCTTCTTGTTGTAAGGCTCCAGGCTCTTGATGACTCGAGAGATGCCAAACTCGTAGTTCCCCTTGGCGCAGTACAGCGTCCTGAACAAACAGCGGCGCTGGATTATTTCATGTTTTTCACATATAAGGATTACGATGGGTTTAATAATGCTCGATGCTTTTTGTCTTATATCAAACACGGCTCCATAATTCCACAGCTGTGCACTATAAAGTTACGGCGTGTGTCATAAGGCCTCTGCCCTTAAAGCAGTGCGATCCGGACTCACCCGATGACCAGGTTCACGATGCAGAGGTGGAAGACCTTCTTCTCGGGGTCGTCGTAGGAGATTTGCTCCTCCTCTTTCTCGATCTTCCTCATCAGCTCTTCAGCCTGCGAGAGGACATCCATATTATAGCTACACAAGTATTTTGGGCGTAAGGGGGGGCGGGGGGGTAAATGTTCAGTATTTGCTGAAATGAGTAGGATTTTCCTAAAACAGTTTTAACTTTAAAAAACAAACTAGTCATTGTGTCTTTAACCAAGGAAATATTAAAAGCATATTGAAGCATCAAAAGAATCAATTAGAACTCAAATAGAATAACTGTAAGTAAATATCATGGTGCAACTATGTACTTATATACCAGAAAAAACACACACTTGAATGGAGAAATATGTGTGAACATTTGAGATAAATAGAACGCTGGGTAAAGGTACAGATGTTCTCTTTGTAGCCCTCCTACCTCCTCGTTCTGGCTGGTCAGGATGTAGGAAACACAGAGGTTAGCCAGGACCACAGCGCTCACATTCAGGATCTACAGAGGCACACACACAAATATATTCCATTACATCAGGGTGTTGCACCCTTGTCAAACCAGCAGACCCCCCAAACAAGGTAAACTCCCCACACAGCAGGTAACCACGGCAACAGACATCATGCACAGACGTGAAGGCTGCAGAGGACTCAACACACAGCTGCTGGTTCTTCACTGTTACCGGGGGTTACCGAGGGTTTGCACTTGCAGGGACACTCCTGAATGTTACACTGCTCCACCTGGAGCAAAAGGCAAACTGTCAGGCTGACTGAGGGACCCCCCTGTGGGCGCAGTGACCGTGGCCGCCTCCCACTCACGTTGTCGTAGTGCTTCTTGACGATGGGCTCGTAGAAGCCGATGGCGTCCTTGTACTTGGCCTGCATGAAGAGCACGTGGGCCACGTTGAGCTTCCATGTGTCGTCGTCATTGCACACCTCCACCGACTTGCGGAAGATCTTCTCCACCATCTGGAAGTTCTCCCGGTTCCAGTAGATCTTGGCTTGGGCCATCAGCACCACGATGTACCTGTAACCATGAATATTACCACCATTTCCTCTTAGGCAATGATCAATGCAACAATGAGTCATACGTTTGATTTGTCTGCTACGATGTGTGCAGGGAAAGAAGAGCGCTAACAAAATCTACACGAACATATGATTACAAGTAATAGTAATTATTTACGTTAAAATATTCAAATATCCATGCAAGACATCAACAAGCCATGTGTCTACTTCCCCCACTAACCGACGTGGGTGTGTGTGTCTCTGTGTGTGTGTGTGTGTGTGTGTGTGTGTGGCCCCACTTCTCCTGCGTCTGGTCGTTTTCCTGAAGAGCTTTCTTCTGCCCGTCATCGTCTCGGGACATTCTCGCCTCCTGCACCTTGGAGACGAGGGACCAGAACTGATAACTGACATCACAACATGAGATTAATTGATCAACTAAAGGCCGCCGCGTGTTTCTGCGTCTGCGTTGTCGTGTCGACGCACTGGTTTCACTTCCTGGTTGTAAAGTCCTGCGTGTGTTGCAGAGCGATTCACCTCCAGAACAACAGGTGGAGTAACGTGTTTTGTTGAAGACGACCTGGAGAGTCACGTCTATTTATTTATTTGTTTATTTACTTATCATAGACTTTATTGCCCCGTGCATCCACACTGCTGCTTTTCATCAAGGACACATTTGTCCCGTATTTTCCTCCACGACTTTGTTCCCTCGTTTGTGGAGATCTCCCTCCATGAATCAGAGGCCATCCGGCGTCCTCATAGTCCGCCAACGACGGCTCGTACAAGTGCTCATATTTACGCATTTCTTCCCACAAAAGCTCTTCAATCTGATCCGTTCACTTGTAAACATTCTTCCTTTTAATAATGTTGGTATAGTGCTGTGAAAACGGAGATGTGAGACTCCGTAAAGGACGTAGTCAGCAGACCAATCACAGCCTGGTGCTGCAGGACGCTGCGTCGACGCAAGCCCAGAAAAATGGGTGTGAAAACACACGCAAGGGACACGCGAGGGGGTCTTACGTCTGCGTCGCTCTGAAAACACAGAAGCATAAACCAGGCTTGACGGTGGTGTATCGTCGGACTGAAGCACGTGAAGTAGGTCCTTGAGGACGTTGATGTAACTGAGGATTCTTTGCGTCGCCTATTAATAAAAGCTAGCAGATAAATAAATGTGAAGCAAATGAGAAACATTCCTTAAAGAATAAAATATGTCGCTGACATCTTCCTGATATTTATCATCTCACAATGAATCATGAGGACCAAATAAACAACCTGCTTTGCCAGCTTCCTTAACTGCTCCGTTAGTTTCCCATTCATCTCATCGAACTTCCTAAAAGCCTGTGGAAAAAGAAAAGTAGAAACAGGCACATAACAAAACGTGAGCCACCTGGAGCTCATTTTATTTCTACTAGAACATCTACACGCTTTCATGTTGTAAAAACAGAAATAATCAGAACTACTGGAAGGATGTTAGAGTACCTCCTCGGGCGCCGTCTGGCAGGTCAGCAAGGCATCCAGGAACTCATACATGTACTAGAAGACACAGAGACACACGTCAACACGGACCCCGTCTGACCACTACGGTGACCCGTGAAAGCATTTGAAAGCAGGAAGCTACCGGCGAGAGCAACTTGTAGGTGAGGTGTGCGTTCTCCGCCAGGACGTCGGCTGCCAGGTCGAAGTACTGAGAGGGAGAAGAGAGTCCAGCCCACCGCGTTATAACAACGTGACAATGTTCATGTACGATTGCAGAGTAAACGTGACGCGGTTGTGAACGAGGACTAACGAGGTGAAAACACAGCTGTAATGGGACGAGGGGGAAGGCAGGGGGAGATGTCGGGTGTGGGGGCGGGGTCAGTAACCGGCGCCTCCTACCTCGTGCTTGCAGTAGAGGAGCAGCAGGTTCCCGAAGGTGACGGGGGGGAAGGAGGGCTGCAGCAGCAGGAAGGCCAGCTTCTCAAAGCCCTCCGAGGGTTTGGTGTCCATGTTGACCAGAGCCTGGTTGTGGAGAGTCACCGGGTCCAGCTCCTGCCAGCACACACACACACACACACACACACACACACAGTATTCTCTATACAAACACAGTGTGAATGGTCCTGAGAGACCACAGTGAGGACTTGAGTCCCTCATTCATCCCACTAGGGGGCACTAGATGTTCACCGCTCTACGAGCCCGACCGAGGACAGACCTCCGACCCGTCATTCAGTTTTAACAAAGCATGAAACCAGCACCTCCGTGTAACCCTTCACACCTCTGCTCTAATATTCTATTTATCCCTTCTATCTTCAGGCTGGTAGCAGGGCAGGTCCAGGCAGCCCTTCTCACACACACACACACACACACACACACACACACACACACAGAACATTGGGAGTGAATGGGGGGGGGGGCGCGCGGCGTTACCTCCTCTGATCGAGGGGGCATGTCAGTCAAAGCTTCTTGAGCTCCTTTCACTGCAGGAAAACAAAGAGGGAACAAAATAGATGTGGTAAATAGATCCATTCAGTTCATGGTGGCCTGTTGTCTCCAAACTGTTACGCACGCTACCAGACGAGGACTCCAGCGGATTGTTCAGGGAACACGGAGAGGAAGGCGGAGCTCACCGTTCTTCAGCTGGTACTCAATGGCGGCTCTGAGGTTGAAGGCCTCGATCAGGGCCGTCTGGTGCAGCACCAGCGTGTTGCCCACGCTGTGCACGTCGATGCCATCGGTGGTCAAACCCACGCTGAGCTCTGAGGGGAAACACAGCGCGGGCTCAGTGGGGACGAATCACGTCTGCCGTGAGGGGAGAGGCCGCGGCCTACCTGGATGCTCCCTCATGCCTTGGTCGATGATCTCTCCGATGTATTTGATGGCCTGAGGGTAGTTCTTCAGGCTGTAGAAGCACAGGGCGATGTTGTAGGACAACGCTGAGGGACAGACGGACAACAGGATGAACTGTAAACGGTGCCTATAGAGATGATGTTTAAAGCATTGCTGGTCTGATAAGCTACCAAAGTGCTCTATTTAAAATCATTAGCTTTTCACCTTTACCAGCTTACAAAGGTTATAGGTATAAAGGTCCTAGTTGATTCTCTCATTTGCTTGAACATATTTGTCCATTTTTACTCCCTACAAGTGAAACCCTTCCGCCACACTAGTGACTGTGCAGACATGTCGAGCCAGAGCCCCTTGAGGGTGTATCCGTGCCTTAGTCGACTACCTGGAACGTATCCCAGCACCTGCATGGCAGACGAGAACTTCTTGCAGGCCTCCTCGTACTTGCCGTCCTGGAACAGCAAACAGCCCGAGTTGTAGACGTAGTCGGGGTCTTCCTGAGGCAGCTGCTCCAGCAGCGACTGTGGAGCCAGTGGAAAAAGAAACACAATGTGTGGGAGTTGTGCAGCAGACACTCGTGATCCAACCGGCCACCACATTGAACCGAATGGGCATCATTTGTAGTAATAGGAGGTAACAGGTAATACGAGAGAGCTCGTCACCTTGGCAGCAGAGTAATCTTCCTCGCAGTATTTGATACAGGCTTGAAGCTTCAGCATCTGTGCCGGAGAGAGAGAGAGAGAGAGAGAGAGAGAAAGAGAGGCGATGAATTGAAGTCAAATGCAACAGCTTGTTTTATTTTGGGGTAAAAATTAAGCAAAACTATGAGCCCAGACTCTGATCCATGAATCCATAATTCCTTTCCATGAACTAATTGACATACTTCTGAGGAGTTACAGGATAGTTCTACCACAGACAACATGACCTTAAATGCCATTTGAAAGCAGCATTTTGTTTCTATACATGTTCCCCGTTGCTGACACATTTATGTTTGCTTCATTCCACTGGTTGTGCATTTATTGTCGGCATCTGTTCTTTGGAGCAACAGCTCCCAGTGATGGGACGTGAGTAGCAGACGGAGGAGGCCAAGTCAAACATCTCAATGTTGTGCACTCGTGGATGTGAAGCAGTGTTTGCTAAAAGGTCGGCGGCCATGATTCTAACTGTGTGAGCTACACGCTGTACCTTCACGTGACTGCCGGGGTTGTCGAGCACGAAGGAGGCCTTTGTGGCCTCGGGATAAGCTCCGGCTTTGTAGAGCGACTGGGCGTAGTACACCTTGTACTCCTCCACCTCTGGGTGCAGCTGGGTGAGCTGCTCGTAGCAGTCTGCAGAGTTGGTAAAGTCCTGGATGTGGAAGTAGCAGTAACCCAGCAGAGAGAGTGCGGCCCTGGACTGAGACACGACCCAGAAGGGACATGTGGGTATTACATACATAACCCCCACCTCAACGAGGGACAAACCAGGGGCAATAGAGGAACTAAAAGGACCTTTTCAAAAGAAAATATTAGTCCATGTGTTGATTTGTTTTTCTAACGGTCAAAAACCCAAAAGAATTAAGATTACAGCTATTTTGTTATAAATTAACATGATTTATTTCAAATAAATGTCAGAACATAGCTGGAATGCAGCTGAATATGTACACATTGAAGAAGCTTGTAAGAGTAAATATATTATGAAAATAGTAAATAGCCATAAATAGCCAACTTTCAGCACCGTTGACAACAAAATAGAGAAAATTGATGCATTATTAAAACTTCCAGTAATATATACTGTATACAGTACTATATACTGGAAGCGCTATATAAGTATAAATGTGCCTCTGTTATACTAACACTTACCTTTGTGTGTTTATGAAGTTGGCCATTAAGGATCTGAATGGCTGCCACATACTGGCTGTCTTTAATCTGGAACACAGAATTATTTATGATGGTCATCTGCAGCATGTACGGTACTTATCTCACATGGCGACGTTATTTAAATTTTCGATTCACCGAACGTCATTTTACGAGCCATTCAACCGTGTGAAGTCACGCTGCACCGCAGCACTGATAACGCACTGAAATGATTATTATTATTATTACTCAGAGATGAATTATCCTTGTGTCAACCGACAATAGCACAGCAAAAGTGTTAGAAACACTAAAATGACGGTTCTTTGGATGTAGTTTGGCACAGTGTTCGACTGCCGCTAGCTTAGCCACAACTCAAACACGATTCTCACCAGTTTGTAGATCGTAGCCGTGTACTCTCCGTCTTTTATAGCTGTCATGGCTTCAAACCAGTCGTTTCAAAGGGAGCAAACAACTTGTAGCTTTGTGTTCCCCCAAAATCTGAAGTAAAAGCATTGAGCTAGCCTCTGTTTTGCGGACGGTTGGAGGGCTTGAGCTGTTACTAGGCAACGTGACAGCCCGGAAATGGAAAACTTGACTGACGTGTGTGAGCGCCAATCATGTAGCCGAATAAAGCGACACCGCCCAAACCCCCCTCCCAAACCTTTATTGAGCCGTTGGACACAGACGGAACAAACAATTAGACTTTGTGAAACATAATGTGCTCTCTAAAATGTTATTTTATTAAAGATAACCTCCACACGTGTATGCAGGTTTTCTTCCAGTGGTTAAAGAGTTTTTAGTCCCTTATGGTGCGTCTTGGGTGGATGGGGATCGAACCAGCGGCTCAAAAAGGGCCACTGCTTTAACCAGTACAAGAGGAGAGAAATAAGAAGGGGAGGTGGTATAAAAAGAGGAGAAAGGGGGAGGAAAGGGAGAGAGGAGGAAGATAGAGGAGCTGGAGGATAAATCAAAGAAGGCATAGGACGGTGAGAACTGAGTAGGAGAGCGTTTCTCTTTGTAGGAAATCAGCTCTTTTTAAAGGAGATCACTTCTGAACTCTTCTTTTAGAACCTTTGATCCACTTTGCCGACTGGTGAAGTGATGGAAGGTCTCAGAGCTTAGATAGATGGAGGAGTTTAGATCAGAGCTCACGATGATCACGCTCAACTTATTTAAAGCTAAATTACTTTCACTTATTCAACACAAACACTGGATGGAGCCTATAATTTAATTAAAATGAACCTTCTTGAGGCTTTAAAAAGGAAGTAAAGATAGCTAAATATTGTCCGTTTTAATATTTTCCATTATTTGACTTGAAATGTGACGTGGACACTCAAATGTAACATCCTGCTTTTGAGAAAAACATATTGTAAAATAAACACTTTCGGAGGTAAAACTGCTCAAAAGAAATGAAACCAAGCTGCGTAAAACAAGTCATAACTTTAAATCATATGATTTCTATCTTTTATATTTTTTCTGTCTCTCAGAGCACAACGCCAGAATGGTAGAAACCACAGATGATCTCATTTCTGAAAGATTCAGGATGTGGATGTGAAAAGATGAACACCACACACGCACACACACACACGCACACGCACACACACAGTGGTTGAAGCGGATGAAACCGAAGGTGCTGGAGCTTTGCCTCAGACCTCACAGTTTTGACCACTGGGCCTCCATAATGACGGGTTAGAGGGTGTGTGTGTGTGTGTGTGTCTGTGTGTGCGTGTGTGTGCATGCATTCTGGGTGTGTGTGTTGCCCCGGTCTGTCTGCTCTGCTCTGCCTCTTATCACTGCCTTCTGGTGGGACCGTAGGAAGCTGTGCAGGAGAAGAGCTGAGACCCAAACAGGTAAACAGGTATGTTTGTGCAGAGACTGATCGATCATTTTGATTTATTAGCACAGCCTCAGGTCAAATGATTACTAACCGTGTCCAGATTGAGCTGAAAGCTTCACTTCCTTTGTGTTTAAAGTTGCTTCATTTGGGTTGAAACCAAAACAACCAAAGTAAAAAAAGAAGCTTTTATGGTGGAAAACCTGAAAAACTCTCTAATTATTGCAGCTGCTTTAAAATAAATATCAGCGTATTCTGAATATGACGCAGGAGCACATACGTGTAACGCACGGCGGAGACGAAGCAGAATGGAACTCTTTTTTTTTTTACTGAGCAGGAATTTGAATCAGGCGTCTGCCGTTTAAATATTGAATGTATCTCTGAAATTCTGCGATTGTTCGTTCACCGCGGGGCCAAACTTCATGGTTCCAGACCGAGCAGTTAGTGCTGATTGAGTTTGATGGCATGAAAAAAATGGAAAAAAAACATTGAGGAAACCTGCAGCAGAGAGAGAGAGAGAGGGGGGAGAGAGAGGGGAGAGAGAGGGGAGAGAGAGGGAGAGAGAGGGGGAGAGAGAGGGGAGAGAGGGGGGGAGAGAGAGGGAGAGAGAGAGGGGGAGAGAGAGGGGAGAGAGAGGGGGAGAGAGATCCCAGTCTGTGTGTATTTGGTTCGTTCTTGGTTGAGTGATAATCACTGAACGATCCGGGAGTCCCTGGTTCGACTGGAGCTCAGGTTGTGTTCGAGGCCGTCGCCTTGGTGCGTCTCTCAATGCGGTCTGACTTCCTGTCTAAAATAATAATTTCCTAAAAAATCTGCTTATTGTTGTTTCTATTAAACAGTTTTTAAGTTCTGACCTTCTAGAGCATGAAGGTCATGAACGGGGGTTCAGGGAAGGTGGTCACTTGAATGGAGATGGGTGGAGAAGGATGGAGTTGACTTCTACGTCGTCTCTTACTCTTCTGCTGGATTCGCTAATGTTGAGAAGCTCAGGCTGAAGAGAGGAGACCTCATGTTCACGTCAAAGAGGAAACCTCTTCGGGGAGACTGAATATTAAACGGGTTTTGTGTGTGAAAGTGAAATAAACATAATAATAATTAATAACATAATTGCACTCTGCATGTTTTTGCCCCCCAGGCCTGGACTTGTTCCTCAGTTCAGCCTCGGGCCTCCTCAGCGCTGGGAAGACTCAGGCGGGGAGGGAGGTAGGGGGGGGGGGGGGTGTAATACCTGCAGAATGCTGAGTCAGGCTGTGCAGGGCAACAGTAACCAAGTAAATAGAATAAAGACAACCAGCAGCAGATACCGGATTTCATTCCACTGATTAAATCAAAATGATCAAACATTGGTAGTTGATTTATTTTAAAATGTATAATTTTGTGGTATTTCCTTCTAGAAGTTAGAAGGAGTGACACACTTTATAATGCACATAGTGATTTTGTTCACTGTGGGTATAAACAAGGAGACCTGGAATCACTCCGCGTCCAGCAGGAAAATTAGAGTCAGGAGCGTAGAGTGTGTGTGTGTGTGTGTGTGTTTATTATGTAACCACTCCTATCTTCAAACATTTTCATCTCGACGAGCCGCCGACTTTAACGAGCTGTAAAGTTTTGTGACTGCATCTCCCACGGTTGTGAATCTATCAAAGTGACATGATGAAGGTCACTCACACACACACACACACAAACACACACACACACACTCAC